GTCATAAGTCACTTTTTCCAGTGCTATTGTAACTTTGGTCACTAAACAAATACCGGTAGTTGTAAATGGAGGACTACCAGTATTAATTACATTCATCACATTTTAGAAAGTAACATCAAAACCTGAAAACTTTCTAAAGGGTATTGGAAGTGGAGAGGACATTGGGGAAAATTAAGAAAAATGGATTGTTAACACATGCTTTCATCTCGAAATGAGAGCTAAGAAAAGCGTTGAGGAAATAATTGAAACAGAAGATGCTTGGATTTGCCCATGGTTTTTTCAGGCTATCTTACAGAATTTACAACTTCAAAACTGGAACCAAAATGCTAAATGAATTGCTGCATGGTACAAAATAACTGTACAGATACAGGTAGAAATAGCAGAAAATACAGAGCAGATGCAGTTTTTATTATATATAACAATGGCATAATTTGTAGCCATAGAGCTTCAATTATTATATTTCAGCTAAGCAGCTTATGTAACGAGTGGTAAAAGTCTTATGCTTCCCTGGGAGGGAGGGAAATCCTCTTTGGCAGTACTGTATGTACTATTTAGCTAATGTTTCTAGTGCCAGATAATTCAACAAAAAATGTAATGGTGTTGACAAAGCAGCTAATACAAAAGATCAAGAGTAACTTGATATAACTTAAGGTTATTGTTCTAAAACAGAAACAGGCAAGTTGAAAGGTTGAGGAAGTAAACAGCAAGATGCTATGTTGTTTCCAGGCATAAAGATGATCCACCTATCACTATTTAATCATGTATCATTTCATAGTTATAATCCTGGCAGGGGGTTTCTCACATCCTAATCACTTGAAGACTACAAAATCAGCTGATTGCTTGCATTAATATGTGAATGAACCATAGTAGACCAAACAGTACTAATTAACGCTATCTCAATTTATTAAGAGAAATTAAGGATTAACCTCTTTCTGTTCAAGCAGCACCTTCTTTGAGCAACACATCAGGAAATGATAGTGGGCATCAATATGACATTGAAATCAGGAGAGCCCGCAAATATAGTGAGAAAAAAGAGGAGGAGGAGGAAAAGAGTATCAGATATGTTCACCATCTTGAGTTACTTCTAAAGTAATAAAGGCAGGATAAACATTTCATAAATAAAATGGGAAGACACTACTCAAAGGGAATCCACCAATTGCAAATACTTTTTTACCTTCAGCCTTCCATCACCATTTAATTTAATTTAATTTATCGCATTTCTATGCCGCCCAACTCCCGAGGGACTCTGGGCGGCTTACAGCAAAATAATGCGAACATAGAAAAATTGTTTAAAAACATTGTAAAAACATTTTAAAATATTAAAAGCCCATGCACACCATTCATGGCCGGATCTCGCAAGATTGCAACAGCGAGATCAACGGCCCCAGGCTTGCCGGAAAAGCCAGGTCTTCACCACTTTCCGGAAGGCCAATAGGGTGGGGGTAGTCCGGATCTCAGGAGGTAATTGGTTCCAGAGAGCTGGGCAGCCACAGAGAAGGCCTTCCCCTGTGGGCCCGCTAGCCAGCATTGTTTAGCTGACGGGACCTGGAGGAGACCAACTCTGTGGGATCTTTTTAGATGTTGGCTTACAACCAAATTCCAGTGGCAAGTAGCATCACTAACATTTTGTTGGGAAAAAACTGATGTACTGCCAGATTTGATGGCACAACCTTCAAGAGGCCTTGAGTTGACCAAGGGCTTTAGATAGACCCTTTTTGATACATGATTTATGCCATGCAGTGAAATAAAATGTAAAAATAATAATTAAAAGGCAGGATTCCTCTTTAATCAATTTCAGCATTTACAGAAAAGTACCCTTTATGACATAGAAATAATAGGAAGTTTTAAGACATTCAGCACTTTTTGAGTTAAATTTTCAAAAAATGAAAATAACATTTCATTAAAGATGGGCTGACATATTGTTCTGGCCCACAGTTTGTTGAACAAGTAGCCTTGTTCATTCATGCATACTAAATGATAAACCAAGGTAACAAGTTTACCTGATCTGGGCTCAAAAATCAGGATGGTTACTTTTGTCTTTTTGCTCTCATCCAATGATCAATTTGATCAACCAGATATTTTGAAACCCATGTCTGCTAGATTTACTTTCCATTATAAATGAAAATGAATGAATTACATTATAACTTGGCAAAGGGATGAGCAACCTATTGCCTTGATATATCCGTGTTGTTATATGATCGTTATAAGAACATAAAGAAGAGGGGGTGCACATAAGTACACAAAGAAGAGGGAGACAACCTATTTTCCAACCCGGCCCTGTTGCGAACCAGTAGTAAAGGTAAGTAGAACCCACCCCTGCCACAGAGGTATAGATTCTAGAATAGCAGATTACTGCAATCTATTTGTAATTTCAGCAAAAGGAGTTAGAAGCAACACTAACAGCAAAACATCCTCCATTTGTATTACAACAAACACAGTTATGTTTCAATTGTTTGCCCATTCAGTCTCTTACAAAATATTTTTTTTAAAAAAAACCTTGGATCAGACATCTCATGATATTAATTTACTACTTTATGGTGAAAGGCTGAGCGCCAAAGAATTGAGGCCTTTGAACTGGTGCTGGAGAAAACTCCTGCGAGTCCCTTGGACTGCAAGGCGATCAAACCGCTCAGTCCTAGAGGAGATCAACTCTGACTGCTCTTTAGAAGGCCAGATCCTGAAGATGAAACTCAAATACTTTGGCCACCTAATGAGAAGGTAGGACTCACTGGAGAAGAGCCTAATGCTGGGAAAGATTGAGGGTAAAAGAAGAAGGGGATGACAGAGAATGAGATGGCTGGATGGAGTCACTGAAGCAGTAGGCGTGAGTTTACAAGGGACTCCAGAGGATGGTAGAGGACAGGAAGGCCTGGAGGAACGTTGTCCATGGGGTCGCGATGGGTTGGACATGACTTTGCAACTAACAACAACCAGTTATTAGAAGTTAGAAGTTTCCTTATGGGTTTCAGCAAAGTCTGTATTTTAAGTTAATATATTACTGAACTGCGATCAGACTTTCATAGGTAAATGAAGACCCTAGAAATATGTTTTTATTTAAAACATTTATATGGCTGCCCAGCATAGCCAGGATGACTCTGGGCAGCTTACCAAAAGGGGAAAAAAAGCTCACCAATCTGACAAAATGACTACAAAATCACAGTGAATACATCTATAAACAATAATGAAATAAAACAACTGAATGATAATCCAAACAATAACACCATCATCCAGTTGGGGCTCCAACACGTCATAACCCAAAGGCCTGGAGAAACAACCAGGTCTCAACAGTTTTTCTAAGGACCAGGATGGTTAGAACCAACCCTATTTCAGGAGTCCTGGTGGTCCACTGGTTGGATGCAGTATTGCAGGCAAACTCTGCCCACAGTCTGGAGTTTGATCCTGACTGGCTGAAGATGATTCAGCCATCCACACTTCCGAGGTAAGTAAAATGAGGATCCAGATTGTCATGGGCAATATGCAATATGCTGACGTTTTTAAACTGCCCAGAGTATGCCGTAAAATGAGGCACTAAATAAGTCTAGGAACTATTGATATTGATATGTCAAGAGAATCATTTACTAAGACATCAAGGGCCACCCTAGGTCCTAAAAAATGGGATTGCTCATTGAAAGGACCTGTAGTGGACTTCCATTATCTGAACATACGGTCTGGGCAGATATCCTGGGGGTAAGACCGTCCCTCAAAACTCGTAATCCTATAAACTGTATGATGCCTTATCCATTTTCAGTGGTTATGTGAACCACTCTTCACTGTTGTTGCCTTTCTGAACATCTCTGCTCTCCTCTCCACTTAGCCATTTTGATTTTCCTGTTCTGTTTCACAAGCTTATATAAACGTTGTCATAGAAGCACAGCTTTGCAGTTGCCTTTGGCAGAGGATTGTAAAAATAAATAGGTTCTCAAATACTGGACCCAACACCCCTTCCAGGGCTCCTGACCTTTGTAATTTCAAAACTGGGATTCTGAGCTTCCTCTAGATGTGGATGCTACAAAGATTGAGGGAAAAGATTTTGTCAGCACCCCACCCGTTATGCTCCATGTCCTTCGATGCAGTAATGAGAACTGATGGCAGCCCAACTCTGGCAAAACTTAACTCTTGCACTGCACACATAAAGTCAACATCTCCATATACCCAGAATTTAAGGAGGGAAGAGATGTAACAGAGCAACCATGTATAAACAGGCATCTCTTGGGCTGGATCTGAGCAAGATTGTTTTAAGTGTAAATTCCTGCCACAAACCTAGATTCTTCTTTTTTCAGGTGTCAGTGTGGTGGATTGTTGCCATGAATGCAAACCTGTGTAATAGCCGCAAACTTGCTTTATGGCAAATCTTACCAGACAGCAATGCGTGGTCTAGTGGCTAGTCAAAGTCAAAGCAAATCTTAATGTTCAGTTCTGAGTTTCTAGACATGATGTAAAAACTTAGTGACACATTTAGTTTTTCCCCTGTAGTTCTGCTTTTCACATTTTTGGAAAAGACAGCATAAAAACCAATACCTCCTCAAGCAGATGTTTCCCATTGAAAATGCAAAGTGCGATAGCGGTAATTATGGAATTGTTTGTAACCCAATGCAACAATAGCCACTGACGTTCTGTTGAATGTTAACAGGAATGATAGTTGCTAGTCTAATTTGGTCTTCCATAAATTGATTAGTCGTGATACTCAGTAGCAGTCTACTAAAGAGGGCCAAGCTCATCATACTTATGTCCTGTCATACAGATCTGGCCACCTGCTACTGGACAAAAAGAGATGAATTATGAGGCTTTCCACAGTCCAAGGTGCGTCAGATGTGCTGGTGTACAACTTCCATCATTGCAATGACTATTCTGGCTAGTGGGGTTGTTACAATTGAGCATATTTGGTAAGTATCAGATGTAAAATTAGATTGGCTGGAGCCACACAAGTTCCTGGTGGCACTGCCAGGTTATTGCAAACTACGTGCAAAGCGATCATGAAAAACACAGGCAAAGAATCACTATTGGATTTAATTATTTTATTACAAATCCCCTCCCGCCCCCCTTCTCAAGGTCCAAATGCAGCGGAAACTGATTGGCACCATCCAAGACACCAAAGTACAAAATCCTGAGCCACTAATATTTCCTCTGAAGTCAACTATGCTTATTAACAACTCCCTGGCAGAAGTGGCAGGTATGTTTGAGTGCCAAGGTATACCTACTGGAATAGCAGTGGTCTCTGTAAAACTGTACAACTTTAGAAACTCCTAAAAATGTGTTATTTAAAATCTCGAAAAAATCCATTTCCCCTCCCATCCTGTGCTCTTTTGCCTTCCATTTGAAAAGCCCTGCTTTAATGCGAAGCGTACCGAGAACTTTAATGCCCTCCATTCCCTGCCAATTATTTGTCAAAAATATGGTTAAAGTTGACCAGTCAACTCTTCATTGAAGCATAAGCACATCTCTGTTGCAGCCAGCCGCACGCCGCTCAGCCTAGACAGCCAGCGGCTTTAGTTTGACTTAAAAGTTAATGCCTATTTTAATTTATAAGCCTGTAAACGACAGCTTCTTGTGTAACAAACCTTCAAACTGGTCGTTGAAAACGACAGCACATAGCTAACTTTTCTTCTCAACAAACTTTTTCCCACCTTCCCATTTTATCTACAAACCTTAACCAACAGACCCTTGCAGCAAAGGGTTGATTTAGTGTACCTTAAAAAAAAGGACGACGATTTTCATAGGTGTTTTTAGACATTTAAATATATATAAAAAGACTATTTCACTTTGTGTTAGAAACAGAAAATCAGTTAGCTTCCAAGAACAGACTGAAGTGTTCTGCAACTTCTTAAATAAATTCTACAATTTCTAATCCCAAGAAGGGAACAATGGCCTAAGACCTAAGAACATGAAAATATTTCTAATTCTGGCAGGAAAAAGTCTGCACGTAGGAATACTTTAGGAGTCCAAGGAAAAGATATTACTATATGTCTTCTTGCCCTTGAGAGAACTTCATTGTGGATCTGTATTGAGTACCAGCACTTTAAGTGGTGGTAAGATGCCATATTCATTTCACCAAAGTGAATGATACGCAATTGCACTTTTGCTCATTTCAGCATAGCCCATGAAGTGCAAATCCAGGGAGGGAGAACAATTAGACCCCAAAGATAATTACTTTTTCTATCTCCACTCCACAACCCAGGTCTCAATTTTGGCATCTATTCCTGGAAGCTACTGAAACCCAGTCAAAGACATACAGATGAATTACATGAAATAGTGGTAAAACCCCACTTGTCTTCTCCTGTGCCCCTCAAATGACAGAACAAACAGTGAAAGAGACTACACTTCCCTCTCCCATACAAAGAAATAAAAGGGTCAGTTTTAGGAGAGGGAGCACAAACATGGAATTTCATGCCCTCACAATTAATATCTAGAAAATGCAGAAGAGAGCGGGAGCACAATGGGACAAGCCCACTTAGTTCTTGTACTCAAAAGGTTCGTCGCCAGTTTCATTGAGCAGGCAGGTACGGACTAGTGCTTCGGTCACAGCATACGGGTCGCAGTTAGCGGAGGGCCGTCGATCCTCAAAGTAGCCCTTTTTAACCTGGCCCACGTTTCTTGGGATACGAATGCTGGCCCCACGGTTGGCAACTCCAGCAGAGAACTCATGGATGTTTGATGTTTCATGGAAACCAGTCAAGCGCCTGGCGTTATCCAGCCCTCCTTTGGGATCATAGGCGCGGATGTGGTACTGGTGACGCTTACCCAGCTTCTCAATGGCGTCTTCGATCTGCCTGTGAAGGAAGAAAAAAGAGCATTATCAAAAATGGCCCCAGAGGTGCTCAGCTGCTCATGTTGCTAATAGCAATAGCACTTAAACTTATATACCACTTCATAGTGATTTACAGCCCTGTCTAAAAGGTTTACAGAGTCAGCATATTGATCCCTCCTTCACCACCAATCTGGGTCCTTATTTTACCAATTTTTGAAGGATGGAAGGCTGACTCAACCTTGAGCCAATCAAGATCGAACTGCTGGCAGTCGGCAGAATTAGCCTGCAGTATGTACTTGCATTTTAACCATTGTGCCATCACGGCTAAGATTGTACACGTTGCAATTTCACCGACGTACAGCAAAGACTATTTAATATTTTATTCCAGATATTCCGGAAAAATGCCAAACATTAAAAAGGAAAATAAAATCTAACATTTAAATAGCTCTGCTCTTGATACTTGTTTAAAGCTAGGCATTCTCCTGAGCCTCCAAATATTTTTAAAAAAAACTTCTTAATGATGAAAGTTCAGAAAACAAACATTGTGAAAATGATTTCCCCTTCTTGCCCATACTTAAAATTAAAAAGGCATTTGATAGAGTATTGCATCCAACTTGCAGCATACAATAAGCCATCCTTTGCAATGAATGGAGATAAATCCAGTTTAAAACATTCTTGTATGTAAAAAATATACACACACACTGCCAACAGAAATATCCTTAATAATATAAAATTCTAGTTTGCCTTTAGTTTTTGATTTGCAAGGATTTTTCCCCCATGCTCAATGCAGATGTATGTGTTACAGTGGCAGAATTCTTTTTTTTCCTACCAGTTCTGTGGGTGTGGCTTGATGGGCGTGGTGTGGCTTGGTGGACGTGGCAGAAGGATACTGCAAAATCCCCATTCCCTCCCCACTCCTGGGGGAAGGATATTGCAAAATCTCCATTCCCACCCCACTCTGGGGCCAGCCAGAGGTGGCATTTGCCGGTTCTCCAAACTACACAAAATTTCCGCTACTGGTTCTCCAGAACGTGCTGAATTTCACCCCTGATCTGTTAATGTTTCTTACTATGAAGTATTATTATTGTACTATTAGATAGTCTCAAAAACGTAGTAGTAATATTGTCTCTCTCCATGCCTCTTAAAGCCTCTCCTTCCCTTAGATCACCTCTGCAACAAAGGAGTAGCACTTACTTGAGGCCTCCTTCCTCTCGCATGTTCTTAGTGCTGAAGTTAGTATGGCATCCAGCTCCATTCCAGTTGCCAGGAATAGGCTTGGGATCAAAAGATACAATGACCCCGAAGTCTTCACATACTCGGTGAAGGATGAATCGAGCAATCCAGAGGTGATCGCCCATGTCAACACCTTCGCAAGGGCCCACCTGAAACTCCCACTACAAGAGAATCAGAATGAGAATCAATCGATCATTCACACCCTTCTCTACGTATACTAAATGCATGAAAAGAATTCCAGTGGTGAAAGATTAAGCATTAACAGCAAGGATTTATACCTGTGCTGGCATAACTTCTGCATTTGTGCCTCCAATGTTAACACCTGCATATAGGCAGGCCCGATAATGAGCTTCTACAACGTCTCGACCATAAGCTTTGTCTGCTCCAACTCCACAGTAGTATGGCCCTGGAGAAACACAAGAAGCAAAAGAAATCAGTGGGAGAATCTATACCTCTAGTCACCACATTCAACAAATCCATGTTATATAAAGGATACCCCTGTATAGATAGTCCTCTACTTATAACCATTCATTTATAGTGACCATTCAAAGTTACAACAGTGACTAATGACAATTTTCACACATATGACCATGGCTGCATCCCCATGGTCATGGGATTAAAATTCAGAGGTTTGGCTGCTGGCATGCATTTCAGTGTGCTGGAGTCATGTGATCAGCTTTTGTGACCTTCTGACAAGCCAAGCTAATGGGGAAGCCAGATTCACTTAACAACCATCTTACTAATACAATAACTGCAGTGATTCATTTAACAACTGTGGCAGGAAAGGAAAATGTTGCAAAACTCACTTAACAAATGTCTCACTTAACATAACTTTTGGGCTCAATTGCACTCATAAATTGAGGACTACCTGTAAAAGACTTAATTAAATTATGTTATCTTTTCTTATTCAATCATCAAGTTAATTTATCTTTAGAGATATCCTCAAGTAATCAAATTCCAATATCATCCTGTTTAAAATGTAATCTCTGATTGGCTGAGATCACCATTAGATTAATCCAAGCAGTTTCACAGTTGAAAGCATGACTCTCTTCCTTTAAACATTTCCATACCCTCTCATGAATTGGGAATTTCTCTTGATTAGGTAAGTGGTCCACCTACTTCGGCAATGGATTTCTGCTGCCTAAATTTTCATTTTAATATCAAAGGCCTAATATTTAGTTTATGTATGAAAAGCAGCTGCTCTGTCACTAATGTGGTGGTGTCTCAATGGCAGACTGCAATTAGTGGTTATACATTAAAGATTTCATAGGAATTTCAGATGGAATCTTACCTTGTGGTCCAGGAAAGCCATTGGAAGGCCAACCAAAGGGATGTCCATCTGTTCCTAGAAGGGTATATTCTTGCTCCATTCCAAACCAAGGATTCTGGTTAGACACCATATCCATAATCCTTTTACAAGTAGTTCGTAGATTTGTTTCTAAAAAAAACGGGGAATAAGCCAATGTTGGTCATTCATATAGATTTTATCCTTCCCTTAAAAGAGAGGCGTATATGAATTTGAACTGCAACTTTATATATTTGTACTTCATTGTTCTTGAGCAAAGATTTAAGATTAAACAAGGTTTTTTTTAATAGAACGGAAGGATTTAGGTTTAATTAGAAAGTGCTTTCTAATTAATTTCCCCAGTCACCTTGTAAGATAAAACACACTGTAGTTATTTTTACATTGCCAGGTGCAGTGGAAGCTGGATAACTTAGAGTCCCCTGAATATTTTAGCTAAGCAATCTTGATTAAACATCAATATCAAGATAAATAGCAACATTGTTGTCAGTGTGGCTATTAAAACAGGATGGTTAAGAGGATGGTTAATGAATCCTACATTTTCTTCAGGATTGTGATAAATTAGTTAAAAAGGGAAACATTGTTCAGTAAGTTAAATGAGAGATGCATGAATGAAAGCTATGCCTGTCAGATGACAAGAAATCAGCTGAAACTTTACAGAATGCAAGTCTTGTGGCTGGAAGTGGCTTCACATGAGAGCATTCACTAACTTTTATTCTGGCAACTGCAGGCTGTGTTGGTATTTGTTTAAAAGGATCTAGCAAGTTGTTACCAAAAATGTCATTCTAGACATGGTCAGGCAGTATGGCCTGCTGCAAAAGCAAGGATTTTTTCCCGTTCTTATTTTGCATAAATGTCATTAGAATGATGCATTACTATCTGACTGTTTCCAAAATAAAGTTCTGCAATGAACTCTACTGAACTACCAGGATCAAAATGCAAATGAAATGTCACAGCACATGGCAGAGACCTCCTGTTACATATATGTTCCATAATGCTACAGACTATTCCTTCCCTACTGAAATATAGATGGCCTTGACAAATGAATTGAAATCACTATTTTAAATTACCCTGGAAGGTAGTGGCCCACAATTCTTATCTTCAGTGGAGCTGCAAGTCCCTATTTAAATTGTTAACAGTGAAAGGAGGGGAAGCAGTGTCAAAAATACTTGTTCTTTGTTGCCCTGTGAATTAAGGATATGGCAAAACAAATTCATCAGAAAAAGGCAAATTCCTTCTCAATTTGGAATGAATCATAGAGCGATCCTCCTCCAGATATCTTAAAAGTATGAACTGGAGATTTCATTTAGTATTCGTGACCTGAGGCTATTAGTTTTAATAGTCTAAACTCCAGTCATATTTTCTCAAAACATTAAACACACTTTCTCCAGGCAAGGATATGCAAAGAGGGGTGCTTTTTTGTGCACAATACAAGGGCTAAACCTCTGCTTCATTATTCATCTCAATGAAGTGGGGGTGTTTTCTGCATTCTTTTCCAGGTCAGAACGGAAGCTTTAAAAGGCCAAAGCTGGAACACACCTGCAGGCTTGCGGTTGTACTTTAAAACTTCACATAAAACCAGTTTGTTTGGGTCTTTGCGGAAAGGATCTCGAAACATGGCTGAAGGCACAAGATACATGTCACTGTTTGAGCCTTCAGACTGGAAAGTGCTTGAGCCATCAAAATTCCACTCTGGTAGGTCTGAAAACAAAAATAAGATTGAAGTTAAGCCACTTCTACACACCTTACAAACCTGTACTGTTTAATTTTGCTGCTATTGTTACTCACACAATGATTTATCAATGATTTACATGAATAAAAATATACCTCACATTGTACTCATTAATGGGAATTAGCCAGCTAAAGTCAGCGGATGTACTACTACTAATTTCATGTCCCGAAGTATAAAACTGTAGGTAACTGCCATAACTAGTTGTCACTAATAATCTTAAGAACAGGCGTAGTCAATATTTGCTGATTTACTTTACTTTTACAGTTGTAACAATTGTGAGATCAGTTTTAATATGCCCCTGGTGAATTAAAAATTCACTTTAGACATTCACTGACAAGCAGATCAAGAAAGGCATCTAGGATGCTTCATTGCAGAGGAGCCATGGTGGCACAGTGGTTAGAACACAGTATTGCAAGCTAACTGCCCACTGCCGTTAGTTCGATCCTGACTGACTCAAGGTTGATTTAACCTTGCATCCTTCTGAGGTCGATAAAATGAGGACCAGATTGTTGGGGGCAATAAGTTGTCATTGTAAACTGCCCAAAGAATGCTGTAAAGCACTGCAGAGCGGTATAGAAGTCTAAATGCTATTACTATTGCTTTCCCTATGCCTGCTTAGTGCAAATATTTCATATTATTGCCTAGTTCTACCACTAGACAATCTGGACAGGGACAGGGAGGATTCTCCAGTATTATTATTTTATTTATAATTTTACAGGCATAAAGTTTTGTAGAAAGATTTGCTTTAAACCACTCTGAGTATAGTTGGCAACCGTGAATGATATACAATGAAGCATCTGTTCTCGGCTCTTGCCTGTGGCTTGTTGCTAAGTACTCTTCCTTAGTTTTTGTCAACAAGTATATATTATAAAATTACAGGCCGGGGGTGGGGGGGGCTTCCAAAACACTAGAAATAGAGTAATTTTTAAAAAAACTCTGAATGGACTCAAGGGTTGTAGCATTACTCATATTGGAACTTTCATTGCCCTAGAAAATGTATGCCTCTGTTTGCCCACAGTATTCAGTACTGATAGTTGTCAAGAGGAGAAAAACTAATGAATAAGCAAGCACAGGGCAACTGGCATTAAAGTGGTTAATCTAGTTAATCAGTTTGATCCCTTTCATATGCTGAAGGTGGTGAAATGATTTAAACAAGTTGTGTCAGCCACTTCCTCGGAATAAAAACAAAGCCTTTAACTAAATTTTCCTAATGAGCTATACACACTGGGCAGGTTTCGTAACCATCTCTGGCTAGCTCCATAGCAACCAGGGAAGAAACTCTCATGCTCTTGATTGCGCTGGGGGTGCTGTTTTATTCTAAGTCAAGCAAAACACCAGGTTTTTGCAAATACTCTCTTGTCCATCTGTATTGTGTACATAAATCAGGGCAAGAACAGGGAGCTACCAAAGGTACATTTCCTAAAAGCATTTGGATTGATTTTGTGGCCTAGAAAGCCTCGTCCTATATCACACAAATCCCCCCCCCTTTGAAATTAAGGTTTCAGCACTTGGGGGTGGTCAGGAAGTAGGCTAAACAGACTGCAGTAGGGAGAGGGCTTCCCATCAAACAGAATAGGGCCATTTGTTTGAGATGATTGAAAGGACAGCAAATGGTTGGTTCTGTAATGTATTAATGTAATTTTGGGGGAATGGGAAGGAGGAAGACTGTGTTTTTGTTTCAAATCCTCAAATAGGTTTATTTTTCAGTCAATAAGTTACCTTGACAAGCACTCAAGAAAAAGCTGAAGGAAAAGGTAGTGTTTCTTTCTCCGGTAGAGGGGCTATAAAGGGAAAAGCGCTAAGGTAGCGCTTTTCAACCGTGGTTTGAGTCTGAGGTGTGTTGTCTTCAACTTTCAGAATTGTGGGTATTGAAGTCCACACATCTTAAACTTGCCAAGGTTGAGAAACACTGCTCTAGGGCACGAGGGCTTCAAAAAAGGGCATGAAGTGGGCAGAGATCTTGAAAATGAGGGAGGCATGCAGATAAAAGCCAAGTGCTTGCCATTGTGATTCAAGAAATCAACTAAGGGCCAAAGAATTCTTTATTTCAAGAGCAGCACAAAAGACTGAATCCTGCCAGAAGCATCTCTACCATCTACAATTCAGGCCTGACAGATTGAGCCTTGAAAAATGGTGAGGTTCGAGTGAAGTAAAAATATACTGTGGCTGCAGTTCTCTAGCTTAGCCTTCTCCAGGTGCACTGGTGCTCTACAGACATGCTTCACAAATATGGTAGCAAAGAAATTTGAGCCAAGGTAGACAAACTTGTTTTAAGTATCTGGCTTGTTCCATAGAAATTAGAGAACAGAGAGACAGATTTCGTTATTTAAATCCTCTTTTTGCTCAAATATGGATTTGAAGAAGGTACCCATAATTCAAAACCAACGTTAATGGTCATACAGATTTTTTAAAAATAACTGGAAAAGACTAAGCCTGTTCCATCATTTATTTTATTTAGCAAATGTATATATTATTTTTATTTATATATTTATTTACATCATCTGGAAGTATGAAATGTATTTCATCTAAGCATAAGGCATTTCATCCTATATGTGATCTTCATCAACAAAATAACCCAATTTGTTTTAGAAATGAAATTGTTGTTTCTGTTTATTATTACTTTCTTGCATATTTAGAACACAATGCGATGCAGTTCTATTTGTAATGTAAAGATTGGATGGAATGGATAAGCACATGTATACAAGCACGTTGTATGCCTTTTCTGAGCTAGGCAATTTTTTATTTTTGGAAAATAAAATAGTTATGAGATCAAAACCAGAAGAAATAATAGGTATGGAGAGGGATTTAAGGAATCCCTTTGCCAACAATTAACAACTGCACACTGCCGCCTCCTGGTTTCTCAGAATTTCATCAATTCTACCCCTTTTGGCTGTCTGTCCATCTATGCAGTTGTGAAAAAATGTGATTTTAATGAAATGCTGAAAAACATTGGATAACGTAGCAACTTGGTTCGACTCTTATTTTATGGATAAAATATTTATTTGTGGAAAACTATTAAGGTTACAGTATTCTTTATTCCAAAATGCAACAGGACTCTAGTTTGAAGTGCTATATTTCCTATGTCAACAGGGATGCAGTGAAAGGAGAAGCTAAGAGGGAATGAATGTTAAAAATACAGTATAATGTATCAAATATTCAATTCTATTCATAGAAAACTGAGATTGGAAAGGGGTGTTAGGGTACTGAATATATTCTGAATGGGATTCCAGATATAGAGCACCGCAGGGGAGAAAATGTATGTTTATCTGAGAACTCAAAACCACAGTTGTAGACATGATTTCCCAAAAGAAAACTATTAACCAGCGCTTTTTCAACAATTTGAAACTCAACCAGATGTCTAGCTAGAAAGGAAACTGAACCGTGGCAAACAATTAATTTCAGTGTTTGTTAACTCTGCCATATTTCTTTCATTTAACTGTTTAATGTACATCTACTCAAAAATAAGTTCCCCTAGTATTATGGGGTGTAGTGCCATGACAGCATCTCTAAGACTCTAGCCTAAGTCTAAGGCAATAGAAGCTGTTCTTCTTTTGGCTTTTTGTGCTGACTTCATTATTAAAAAATAAAAGCTAAGAGGGTAGCTTGCAGTAGTAATTGTCTTGATAGCTCTTGGTCAAAACTCAGGATTTAATGAAATCAGAATCACAATGGTGACGTGCATAACTGATAACAGTTGTTCTACATAAGAGAATTAACAGAGTTGAAAGGGACCTTGGAGGTCTTCTAGTCCAACCCTCTGCTTAAGCAGGAAACCCTATATCATTTCAGACAAATGTTTGTCCAATCTCTTCTTTAAAAACTTTCAGCATTGAAGCACCCACAACTGATGGAGGCAAGTTGTTCCACTGATCAATTGTTCTAACTGTCAGGAAATTTGTCCTTAGTTCTAAGCTGGTTCTCTCCTTGATTAATGTCCTAGGAAAGCTCATTCCAAATCTGCTTACCTTCAACGTTCTTGGGCTCACGTTCCAATGTCCGGGTTTTACAGCGCAAGAATTCACCAGTTCCATCAATCCATATGTACATAGCTTGCACCTTGTCACCTTGAGGCAGTTTCATGTACATCTGTTTTATAGTTTTGCTCAAGTGGGAACTTGCAGAGGTGGCCATGGTTGCACTTGTTCCTGAAGTTCTGCAAGATGATGACCTAAAGGGAGAGGATAAGGGTGTCTATGAAAATTTCCAAAGGGATTCTTGCCAAAAACCAAGTGGGGACATTCCCAGAGTGCCAGCTTATGAGCTGGCTTACTGCATGACGAACTTTCCACAGCTGATTACAATCCATGTACAAAATGTACATCTGCTGCAAGTCATCGTATTTCTACTGAAGATCGTGGAGGATTGCAAACTATTTCTACAAGGTGAAAATCAGGCCCTGAATAAGCAACTATATCTTGCTTTGGAAGAACTGTTTCTTATCTGATGCCCCCAATGTTCCTCAGGACTACAATCTGCAAAGTTCTCAGTCAATTTGGCTATAGGATTATGACAGTTGCTCCAATGTAACAGGAAGATATTGGCTGGGAAATGTTGCTGTACAGTTATTGTCCAGTAACATTTATGCATTATAATGGATGTTTAGAAATACTCAATTCTTAATTCTAAACTCTAAAGAAATGTAATCTGTGAAAATGAATAATCACAAACAATACAGTCCTTGTTCTGAAAATGAATCTATTGCCAAGACTGCTTCAATTCTCAGACATTTAGAACTTTGTCATAAAAAGAGGGAGATAAGCTAATGCCCCTATTTGTGTCCAGTGTGCGCCATGACCAAAATGGTTTCCAACTAAATATTGTTATCATTCTAATTGTCCTTATCTCTACATTCATGATTACATTAGACTTCTGTATCAGCTTCTAAGTTTGATAAATTTACTTTTTAATAGGGTTACTATCAAGATAGATTTGTTTGGTTTGTAGCTTTTCTTCTCAACAATAAGCCCTACTATGAGCAACACAAGACAGCTGCTATAGGCTTGTTTGGGGGTGGGGGTGGGAAAGTATACATAGAAATAACTCTGAAAATTCCTGAAGTATTATCAGAAAGTTGTAAAATCCATACACGCAATACAAGGAAATCATGAAACCAAGACAAAACCCTTCCACATTATTTATATTATAAGAGTAATATACAAGACTTCCTAAATTGCAAAGTTTTCCCTTAAGATTTTTATGGGTTTCAAGTGAAAAGAGCTCCAAAAGATGACAAAATTCTACATTAGAGTTATCAGTGTAGAACCGGATTGATTTTTATTGATTGAACTTCTGGGCTAGAATGTTAAAACTTGTATACCTAAATTTCTATGAGATTATAATATGTCTTCTCCCATGATAGCAGAAATACCATCTCTTATGTCAGATCATGGCATACTATTATAAATTAATGGAAACAATTCATTTAAAAAATCTACTAGAACTATCTCAATCATTAACTTTTCAAATTTGTTGGAGTACATTTGCATCTCAAATAGGATAGCAATAATCTCTAATAGTAAAACCTGTTGAGGTAAATGTGAAATAATCTGTCTACCTTTCCTGAATCAGTGCCCTCAAAGGCTTTGGAGCCACCGTTATTGTTAGCTATTGAGCTATTTCATTTTTTGTTTGAATCCTGTTTAAACATGGTAGGGTTCTAAGCTGTTTAGAGTTAGTCAATGGTTTGAATGATTTAGAACCCTAGCAAAAATAAACAGGCAAACAATATACTCAAAGAATTCTAAGACACTGGCTGTAATAGCTAGAATCTAAGAGCTAATCTAAAAGATCTGGAGAACATCAGTTGAGAAGAATAATTTAGCATGTAGAAATCTTGAACTTCATCAAAGCCTTAATAAGCATCATCTCATAACTCCTATTAGATCATATTTTAAAGGACCTAATATAATTGTTGATGTTAAAATTCAGCTGTCAGTGTTAAAATCAAATTAAATTTTGCACATTCTTGTAGTGGATTGGTACTGTTGTTTATGCATTTTTACTGCCAGACAATCCTATGCAAGAATGAATTACTCCCATACCTGCAACATGATCGTCTCTATACCATGAAACAGATATCTAACTGCATTGTATGAAGCACCAGTTTGCAAAAAGGTTCTTGCTCACAACGAAACTCTTTCATGTTCTGAATTTTAATTCCCTGCAAATGTCACATTGTAATACAATATATACTGGATGGTAACACAAAAGAATGGAATTTTTTAGTATTCTGAGATCTTTACCATTCCAAGCCAAGCCCCTAAGCTTAAGCTTTTCCGCGTGTGAAGTTGAATAATATTGTATAATTAAAAGACAATGAACTAGCAGTTGGTAGTCAAGGAGAATTGCTAAGAGGTTTAGGATACCGGGGGGGGGGGGGGGGGGGAGGGAGAGAGGGGGGGAGAGACCCTACTCTTGCCAAAAATAATGAAATATTTTCATGGAGACTGCAAACTTCCACATTTTGTTTAGGTTTATCTCCCATTAAAGAATTCTACTGTGAGATCGAAAAGATGTACAATTTATACATTTCTGGTAACTAAAATACCAATTCAAATTCTATTAATTTTCTAAAAGTAAAATGCTGGATTTCCACAAGTGCATTAACTATAGAGAAATCCTGTCAGGATTTTAAAGAGCAGAACTAAATTATGATTTAAGATTTTTTTTTTTCATTTCTACTAAATTCCTTGCCCTTCCTTGGTTTGCTTATAAGAACCCTACAGCTCTTTAGAAGCTAGCCAATTATTATGACAAACGATGTACATGTATTTGAATTATTTTATGTTTATGTTAATTGTTTGCTACCGTATTAAGTATGTTCCTATCAAAATACTGATTTTTATTGACAATTTCATTGACTAATAAAAACATTGCTGTCAAGACTTAGATAATTTCTTCCGTAGGATTTTTGCCCTTCTTTTAACCATACCAACAGAAATATTGGACTGCAAATAGTATCAACTTCCCATTCTGGAGAAAATAATTCCTAAATATGTAGCTCCAACTACTGATCAGGCATCACAGCAACCTACAATCCAATTCCACAAATCCTGATATTATCTGGATTTTGAGCTAGCCTTTCTTTTATAAGGAATTGTCTTATATGCCACATGTTAATCATGGCTGTTACAGGCATTCTATACATGTTAGATGACTGAATGAACCATCTGTGTTACTAAATTGGATTCTTGGAATTATCCTACTTCTTTCACTTATTTTTTTTTTCTCTAAAGGTGATTTTAAAATTGCAATGTATACAGGGACAGCAGATGGCAGCATCTAGTCAACTTCAGTTGATCTTGGGAGGGGGAAAAAAACAACCAAGCAGAGTTGGACTAGTTAGTACTTGGATGGGAGATCCCCAGGAAATTCTAGGGTTGCACTCTAGATTGGGAAATCAAAAACCATCCTGGAAGAAAACAATGCCAAGTCATTCTTTGGAACATTCCTCCTGTACCCGCCCTCCCTGGGGAAGTTGTCACAGCACCAACTCTGGTTGCATTTTGCAAATTACACACACACACACAAAATCAATAGTTTCTCATTGGCAAAGGAACAAATTGTTTTGGAATTTTGTTTTTATCTGATTATTCCAACCTCCTTTGTCTTTTACAGTTAAGACTGGGGATATTAAATAAGCAAGTAAATAAATCCATAAATATTCTTTCCCCAAAAGCTGCAGGAATTCATCCCCCAGGACTCTGACTTTACATTAATATATAGATTACACACACACACACACACACACCACAGCAGCCCTTGGCTCCCCCTCCTTGATTTAATCAAAATCAACCCCTCAAAAGGCTGTGTGTGTGTGTGTTTTGTCTTCAACCAGCCCTTCCCTCTTCTACCTTTGGCTCCAACCTTGCGGGGTGCTCATTTTTACTCGTCTTTTACACCCTGCGCCCTCTCTTCTCCAGTGCATTACGTGGGAGACCATTTTATCCCCTCCCCAGGGCAACCGCGTTCTTGTTTTGATGCATCCCGCTGCCTTGAACCAGACCGGAGCCATCCAGCCTTTGAAAAACGCCGAGGAAAAAAAGGGACAGAACTGGAACCGTTTCAAGTCCATTGCCGTTCCTAGGGATCCCTCTTTGCCTCCCCATTTAACTAAAGCCAGGGCAAGAATTCAAAAGCAACCGCGGCCGCAGAGATCAGCTACGGCTCAAAGGGCCTGCAAAAAAACAGGGGGGGGGCGTCCTCAAGAGGCCTCCCCGGTATTTTCCCACTTTCTCCATCCAAAATCCGAGCAGCAGGAATCTCCCCTTAAGCCATCGGGGTTGATCGGAAGATGGCCCTTCCAGTGAACCAGCCTACTGGAGACGTCGGGAGAAGGACAGAAGGGCAGGCACCGTTTCGAACGTCCTAACAAAGCCCCTTTTTCCCCCTGGAGATTCCAGAACGCCCCTCCCCCAGCAGCAGGAGCGAGTAAGGACCACACTTAATTGCTTTTGTTTAAAGGAGAAATGAGAGACGACAAGCCTCCCCGGCTGTTTTCTACCACCCTCTAAACTGCATCCCAGCAGCCTATATAACGGAACGGGGCTGGCTGGTCCACAATCCTAGAGGAAAATGAGAGCGACTTCGGGAAAACTTCCTATTCTCCCCTTCCTTCCCCAGCGAAGCCCGGCGGGGGGGGGGAGATGATTTTACTGGAAAAATGCACCTCGAAACCCCGATTCCCTCCCTCCCACCGCCCCCCTTCCAACCCCTTCCAGCCTCTGCTCACGGGAGCCAAGGCGCCCTTTACCTTGGCCGTCGTGGAGGAAAAGGTGCAACGGTGGGAGGCAGGCGGGGAAATCACAAGGACTGGCGAGTCGACCACTAAAGAGGATCGCCCATGCTCTGCTCTAGAGGAGCACAGCTGCCGGCTGCCTCCTTTAACTACTGGCCGGTGCCAATCCCCCCCGCTCGCTGATTGGCTTCTTCCAATCGGGAGCTAGACACGATCAGCTGATGTGGGGGCTCAGGGCTCCAGCGATTGGGCAACCAAGAAAGGAGGAGGGGGAAAAAAAACAGAAGAAAGAAAGAAAGGCAGATGGGAGGGAACGGAGAGGCAGGGAAAGGAGGGGGGGGGGGCTTCCTCTCGGTTTTTGGACGGGAGGGGGAAGTAAATTCAGGGCAGTTGCAGGAAGAGGTGGAAAGTGATTACCGCGCCTAAGAGATCCATTCGGTCTATGCCGATGAGAATCCGGCGCAGCGAAGCTTTGTGTGCCCATCGCGCGCGTGCAAGTCAGAGCCCTTTCGCGACGCGAGCTTCAAAGCTGTTTGCAAAAGTCCCGAGGTTGAGAAAATTACAGCAAGTTGCAAATCGTGGGTGGTCTCTAAACTCTACGCCAGGGATCCCAACCTAGCCCCGCAGACTTGGAGCGAGCTGCACGGAGCTCGCCTAGGCTTCTTTAGAGGAAATCCGCCAGGGGGAGGGACTGGGGTGTGCTGCCTTCTCTTCCGACCGCGGGAAGGACTGCCGGGCAATGCAGAGGGACGAGTGAGTGGCTCTGAAAAACGGGATTTGAACTGATAAATGTGCTCTGGAATGTGGTTTTCGGTGAACTCTTAAAAGTGGGAACCAGCTGCTTCTCTCTTGCCCCTTCTGTCTTTTTAGATTGTTGCAATCTAGGGTCTCCCCTACCTACTTAGCAAGTAAGGCTTTGAAAAGTAACGACGCAGGGGTCGTTTTCCCCTTGTGGGGGTGTGTGCAAAGGCTTGTAAGCCTTATTACGTATGTACGTAGTCCTTCGTGCATTGCGTTTGAGTTTTGCGGGCAGGGTCTCTCTGCTGCCTCTCTGCCTCCTTTTTTGTTTTTGCAAACCAAAGGAACTTGCCGGGCCAAGGCATGTGGTTGGCGGGCTGGATCAGTCTTTCCCGGGCTCTCCGAGGAACTTCCCGGAAAGTTAAGGGCAGGAGGATCTCTCGGTCTTTTGTTAAGGTGTTTATAGCCTGAGTTGCCTTTGCGTAACTTTCTCTGCACGCACAGCAGGAGGACGCGGCTTACCCGCGTTTTCAGCCCAAGCGAAAGTAGCTTCGGCTTATCGTTCCCCGCCCTCAGTCCAAAGAGACAAGCTAATTTAGCCATTAATGTTGCTGACATGCCGGTACATGCAGTGCTCAAGATAGTAAACAGGTTCCCCAGATACGGAAAGGAAAGCAGCTCTTTTGCCTCCAGATTAGTTGTTTTCTTGGCTATAGGTAACTTGGTTAGAGTGTCTTTTTAAAAGGCTTTTGTGGCCTGCCTTTTAGAGGAATTTAAAAAAAAAAATCACCTCAAGGCAGCCTTCCCTCAATATCATCATTATTATCATTCCACATCAATCGAACTAAGGGATGAAAGTTGTGGATCCACACTGGCCCAGTACAAGTTGGTATATTTATTTATTTATTATTTTAATTTATCAGTTTCCCAGTCTAGGGCTGAAAAAGAATGACTCTCAAAGTCACATACAGCTTCCAAACCTCAAATATCAGACCCAATACAAACATTATACTCTGAAAATTATTTTTGAAGTGAATTTTAAGTCATAAATAAGCGAGGGTGTATGCCAGTCATCAGAAAATGAATTCCAAAAATATGGGGCCATAACAGAAAAGGCCCTGCTCCTTTGGTACTGATTATTATTATTTTTTAAAGAGTCCAAGGCTTTGCCTCTCATTTTTACATACAACCATTAGTGGTTTTTAAATAACATAAGAAAGTTGATGACATCTTTCATATCAAAAATTCCTATATCTTCCCTGACTTTTTTTTTTCTTAAAAGAGTTTTCTAGAGCAGAAAAGGGTAAAACAACTGTTTGAGTTGACACTTCTATGCACCCGGTCATAGTTTATTATTTAAATCATGGTTTAAGTAACTGGCATAGCACAAAGGAGGAACCCAGGCAGTGTTTTTTGGTGAGTAGTGCTGTGAGCCAGAAGCATGGGAACTATTTCTAAGTATATCTCAGCTCTTCAAAGGAAGTGTGGGAAGATTACAAGAAATCTGCAATAACTGAAGAGCCCCAATTACACAGAAACTGACTTCAACAAACCTCTTTGATTTGTGCATTATGCACTATTTAACACTGCCTTTGGAGACAGTCCATGGACTTTGGTTAATGCAGAATTCAGCTTCTGGAAGATTGGAGATATTTTGAACATAATCTGCAGTTTGTATCCAAGCTCAATTCAAAATACAGCTTTTGACCTATCTAGCCCTTTATGCTTGTGGATTTGCTGTTTATTTATTCTTATTTTACCTAGTTTTGCTGTAGTGGTTAAGGCATCAGACTAGAAAGCAGGAGACCGTGAATTCTGGTCCTGTCTTAGTCACAGATCCAGCTGAATGACCTTGGACTCACTCACTCTCACTTTCTCTCAGTCCTAGGAAGCAGGCAAGGGCAAACAAGTTCTGAAATCTTGCCAAGGATACTGCAGGGACTAGTTTAGACATTTGCCAGGAGTAAACATGGATTTGAAGGGACAAAGAAAAAAAAATCCTGAAACTATCAGGTCATTCCTCTGCTGTCTGAGATACAGAAAATGGTTCTTAGTTATCACAAGCGGATGCTTTATCTTAGAGTATATAAGCTTGGGCAGTTTGGTTTATATTTTTGATTGCTTGTTATCCACTTCAAGATAATATACAGGATTTGTAAAAGTTGGATATCTTTCAGTAGTATCAGCAGACAAATGTGTCAAGTCTCCCTAAAATCAGATTAGCTCCAATCCTGTGGGCTTTTTGTAAGGCCTTAAAACACTTGGTTTTGGGAACTCATGTTCGGCAGAGCCTGTAGAATGGCTTTGCTGATAGTTGTTGGTGGGTTTTGGGATAGCTCAGCTACTGCTCATTGAATTGGTTATTTTGTTTTGTATATAATTTTAATTGCTGTGAGCTACTTAGACTCATGTATTTGACATGGGTAGTTATATACATTGAAGTAATCAATAAATAATTGTTTTACAAAATACAGAGTGGCCATCTTCTGTTTGATGTCCAAATTAAAGACAAATTCCTTTAAAAGTGGAAATGGTAGTACTCAACTTACGACCACAATTGAGTCCAAAATTTATGTTCTAAGTGAAACATTTGTTAAGTGTATTCTGCCCCATTTTACGATCTTTCTTGCCACAGTTGTTAAGTGAATCATTGCAATTGTTAAATTAGTAACATGGTTGTTAAGTGAATCTGGCTTCCCCACTGACTTTGCTTGTCAGAAGGTTGCAAAAAGTGATCCCATGACCCTTGGACACTGCAACCATCATAAATATCATATAAACTAGTTGCCATGCATCTGAATTTTGATCACATGACCTTGGGGATGCTGCAATTGCCATAAGTGTGAAAAACGGTCATAAGTCACTTTTTTCAGTGCCGTTGTAACATTCAACAGTCACTACATGAACTATTGTAAGTCCAGAACTACCTATATAAGTGTGGGATGTTTGCAGAGGGCAAATTGACCAGGTTACATGAGAATACATTTCTCTTGCAGTGAACTTCGTTATTTCTATTTTTGTTGCCATTATATTTGAAGTATTCTCAACATAATAATTAACATGCACAACTGTTACGTGTGTCTATATTACATTTTTCTTTTTTTCAGAGACAAGATGTCTGGAACCATCCTTTTCAAGGACACCTTTCTTTCCTTTGCATCTGTGGATTGTTGCTATTTTCACATCCTGTTTGCAGATGCGAGACAAAACAAAATGACTTGTTTGTGCAAAAAAATTCCTATCCTTATTTTAGGGCAACCTTCCACAATTTGATATTCCCCTAGCTGTTGGATTACATTATCCATAAACCACAAGCCAATTGGGCAGTACTGGCTGAAGATCATGGGAGTTATACAACATATTTGGACAGCATTAAATTGCAAAGGCAAGTCTTCTAAAAATTATGTTTTAGAACCTTATGCTACTTACCGCCTGGACCATATTTTCATTTCTTCAACTCAGTTTTTTTTTATTAAGCAGTGCTTTATTGATTGCCAGATTTTAGGGTACTTAAAATGCTTGATTATTTCACAATAGACAAAACCTATTCAGACAAGTTCATATCTGGTCACTTGAACAAAATGCTCAGTTGCGGAGAAATTGAATGAGGAGCGAGAGGAAGAACAATTTAATTAATTTGGGATGCTTCAAATTAATGAGTGTTCCTTTGGAATTGTCTGGCATAAAATTCAACCCAGAAAACAAAGATTGGGAAGGATTGTTTAAGATTAACACAGTTGAGTTAATAAGTATAGTATTTCTTTTGCACAATAACTAAGCATGAAATGTGAAGGAAGGTATGCTGGTATTGGAGTGAATTAGTGATTTGTTTGCATTGTTCATAAAGCAATTTAATAAACTTTGTATTTTCCATGTTATAAACGCTTTGATTTCCTAACAAATTTTAGATGCAGATCATAGCTAAGAGCAAACTTTTTGTGCCTCCCCCCTAAAAAAAAGGCAAAAACTCTTTAGTACCGTTAAAGAGAATCAATCCCAACAGGTAGACTTAAAATAACTTTATTGTCACTTTGAATGTACACTAATAGGCATACATTAAAATGAAATTTTGTTGCATACACCTCCAAAGTACACTACATAAACATGACAAAACAAATACAAAATTATGTGTATACCCACATATATGACACAGAGAAGCAACACAGTCTAGTTTGGATGTATACATGTACATGGCGAGAAAAATGAATCTTGCAAGTTTACCAGAGGGAACAAAGCTCTTCTAGAATTTGGTAGTCCTGCTAGAAATACTTCAAAACCTCCTCCCAGAGGGGAGCAACAGAAACAGACCATAAAGTGGGTGTGTATGGGGTCTCTAACAATGCTTTGAGCTCTTAAGCACATAGCGCTTGTAAACATCCTGAATAACAGGAAGTGAGCTTCCTATAATCTCAACTGTCCTTACCACTCTCTGTATGGACTTTCTACCTGAGGCACTGCTGCCATCATAGGGTTTGTTTGTGAGGTTTGACCATATTGGCTGGGGATTATGAGAACTGCAGCCTCCCTCTGGTATCAGAGGGGGGTGTAATCAAGTACTAAACTAATGCAACGCTGCCCCCTGCATCTGCAGCCAGGATGATTAGATTTCTAACCACCCAATGGTTCCAGGTCTCTATAGAAGACAGCCTTTTGCTTGTCCAGATTGTCTGTTCCAACCGCAGAGTCTTAAACGCTCAATTCCTATCTTCCTTTTGGAATCTGATTATCTAATGGCAGGCTTTAGGCTAGTGATCACACACCAACTACGATGTGTTCTTGTCATTTGTTTAGGGAATCTGGGTCTGCATTGCTTTGCTTAAAAAAACTGCATAACTGGAAAACTTTGCCTATGGCTGGGAATCTGTCCTTTTTGTTAATCCAGACTACAAGAAGTTTTCCGCACCTAACTTAACTCTTTGTGGCCACTTCTACTGTATGTATCTGGTTCCCAGCCTAAGGATGTTCCAGAGGGACCCCTATTAGTTTGTATCATTTGCCTGCTTGTTTATTTGATTCCCTTTGTTACGTATTAGAACAGTGGTTACTTGAAGAAAAGTAAAAATGATAGCTACCAGTGAGGACTGCTCAATTCCAAATGTATTTTGTCTCCCACTCATTGCTTCTCTCCCTCCGGCTGTTTTTTTCCAGTGCTGTTTACAAGGGAAAGCTGAGCTTTGCCAGCATGAACTTAGTGCCCTCTAGCGAGTGATTCTGGAAAAATCCATGTTTTGCTGTCCCTTTACCTCTCACTTGTTTACTGAATTCATGTTCTGTTCCCTGGCTGAAGTTACACTGGGATTAATTGCATTTGTACAAAACAGATCAGCTTGGTGCATCATTCAAAACCTTTCCACTGCAATCAAGCCTGTATTTTTGCAAGTACTAAAGTTAGGGCCACGATACTTGAAAACTCCAGATGCCCGCCAGATTGCATCCACAATAAGTAATGTGTCTCTTTGCCACCACCTAGTGATCATCCAGATACCTGCAACCACAATTGGTTATTCTAATAAAGTACTGTATAGCATTTTAGTTTGGTAGTAATGCTACTTAAATACTTTCATATAAGAATTGACCAGTTCAGTGATTTTAAAAAGGTATTGATCAATGGATTCCACTCTCTTTTCGGTTGAAATTCTCTTATCCACTTCCAAAACACTGAAATTAAAATGCATATCTTTGTTTAGTAAAGTTCATAAATAAACTTCATTATAAAAACATAATTCTGAGACATGAAGAGTATATGGTGTTGGGTTGGTGAATGGTAAACAATATAAATAGAAGGAAATGGACAGTGAGAATTACTTCCTCGAGAATAGCCATTCACTCCACATCTCCACATTATTGGGGCAAAGCTGAGAAAGAGTGACACACAAATCTGGCAGGTTTGTGATTGGGCCACAAACAAGGATTTGGGGTTGGGTCACACAATGATGACACCATCCAGATCTTAAGCATGTTGATACTTTTTCTGCAACGGCATGGAATTTTATTGGCGTTCCGGCCAGAGGTGGGCATCACATACTGTAACAACCGGTTCACCCAGAAGCGAAAATGTGAGCCTTATGTGCATGCGCGCGGCACCAAAAAACCGATGATTATATAGGACGTGATAGCGGGTGGGCGGGGCCAGCTGCTGGTCGGAACTACTGGTTCGCCTGAACCGGCAGCAGCCCACCACTGGTTCTGTCTCTGTTCCCAGAAAGTTATGTTGAATCCCTAAAAGTTGATGCTGTAATAGCAAGCCTTAAACCAGAGGTTTACTTATTACAATAATAGTATTCTGTTAAGTAAATCTGTTCTGATAGTAATAGCTGCAGAGAGTCCTCAATTTACAACCACAATTGACCCCAAAATTTTCACTGCCAAGCAAGACGTTAAATGATTTTTTCCACATTTTATGACCTTTCTTGCCACAGTTGTTAACTGAATCACTGCAGTTAGTAACATGGTTGTTAACCGAATCTGGCTTCCCCATTGCCAGAAAGTTGAAAAAGGTGATCACATGACCCTGAGACACTGCAACCACCATATATGAGTCAGTTGCCAGGCATCTGAATTTTGGTTATATGACCATGGGGATATTGCAACGGTTGTAAGTATGAAAACCAGTCATAGGTCACTTTTTTCAGTGCTGTCGTAACTTGTGAATGATCACTATATGAACTGTTGTAAGTCGAAGACTACCTGTATTTTCGTTTATTCATTTAGGATCATATTCTTTCTAATGACTTGAAATTTAGCCTGGGATGAGGAATGAGGAAAGCATAACTGCTACTATGATTATTACTATTATTTTTCAGGCACCTATGTTGGGGAACATTGTTTTAGGAAAAAGATGTAAGATGTTTTGAAAGTCATCGTTTTTCTACCCACATAAAGCAGCAACCAATGAAGCTGTGTGTGGGTAGGTGGAGAAAATTCTAACCATTATGAGATCAGATTGCAGATCATCTATCTAGAAGTCACTGGTAAAAAATGTGGGTTGGCAGCCACCGCTGTGTTCTTTCTGCATCTATTTTGCAGCTGCCAGCAAGTTTACATAGGCATCGAAATGTAAAACAGTTTTTCCATGGTTAGCAATACATTTGGACTTGAATTCTTGGAATTCCCAGCAAAAGGACAGGGTAACTTTTTTTCTCTCTCTTTGCTGTTCTATTGTCTTATGAGAAAGGATTCTGGCCTGAATTGCTTCCTGCCGTAAAAAGAGAAAAAATCCAGCCGAAGCTTTAGTTTTAAACTCTGCAGCAATACCCTGGATTTTTGGAGGAGGCATCCAGTGCTAGTTGTAAAAATGAGCTTTGCTTTCAGCATGAGTGAGCACGGTTGACCTTGCACGTAGGTTTGCCAGCTTGGATCCTTTGGATTGGAGGTTTCGGGGTTGATGAACTTCTCAGGTAGATCCAGAGGCCCATCTGCCCCATTTGCTTTTTCAATGAATAAATATTGAAAGGTCCACAAAGGTCCTGAGCTAGCTTTGAAGAAGCTGCCAGGTCGGAGGTTGATGATCGCTGGTTTCAAATTGGCCTCGAATACAGAAGAGGCCATTTGGTTTATCAGGATTGCACTGGACGGCTTTCTTCTCTCTCCCCCCCCCCGCTCAAAAAAAAAGAGGTCCATCTGGCACTGATAGACTTAGTTTTTATGTGCGTCAGCAATGCATCTAGGACTGTCTCAAGCTAATTGTTTCGGAAAATGGACTGGAAGTAAAAGTTTACTGAAACTAGTAGGCATTGCGCTGAAGGACCAAACCTACGTGTGCTGAGCTGGATATAGCTCCTGCTAATTGAGTAAATTGTATTGTCGTATAGGCATTCAAACATGCTTAATAGGTTAAGGCCAGCTTGGGCCATAGAAGCTCAAGGCAAATAGGAGTTTACTTTGTAGGATCAGTATGAGGCTTGGTTCTGCCTGCTGATTTTCCTTCTCTAGCAGCGATATATTTTATTAAGTTCTTGTCTAAGTATCTGCAGGCCCCTTCCCTTCAGATCGTAAAGTCTGTACTTCAGAGAATCATAGAATTACAACATGAATTACAGCTTAGGGCTGGGATTGTAAAACACCCCTGACTGATGGTCATCTAGAATTGATTTGAACATTTCCAATGAAGGAGAGTCCATCAACTGTCTGGGTAATGGGATTCACATATTGAACTAACATTTTGCTAACATTCAACCAGAATCTTCCTTCCTGGAACATAAAACCATTTTTCCACATCCTGTTGTCTGGGTAACAGCAGATCAACCCACGAGGATGAATGTTAACATTTTGTGTGACATCATTTCAGTTACTCAAAACCTGCTATCATATTCTGCGTCAGCTTTCCTCAAGGCTAAGTGCACCCGATTCCTTCAGGCTTTCCAGATACAACTTAGTCTCCAGTATCCTGATCACCGGCATTTCCTGAACTGTTGGTTTGAAGTGTGGTGCCCAGAACTAAAGACAGTTCAAAGCCAACTCTTCTGACTTCTGAGTTCTCATGAATGAGATCTTGGACTTCTATCCTTCTATCTTGTATCAAAGGCATATTTCTTCAGCCCCATTTTCTTTCCAATCAGCTCTGCAACCAGGGCTCACATAAAGAATACACTGACACGGAGAGGATCTGGCTGAGGGAGGAAGAAGGCTCCCACCCATGTGGGAGCCCCTAAAAATTAAACAATGCATTTCTGTAATAAGTGGATATTTGCTAAAGTAAGGGGAAATTGGTAGAAGAGAAATTAACAGTGACCACTATTCAAGAATTGCCTCTTTTTTTGCTGTGTCTTAATATGTTCTTTGAGAAATGGTAAAATCCTATTGGAAGAGAAGATGTGGTTAACTCCTTTAAAAGTAATATCAAATATTAAATCTGAGACTGCAGTAGCCTGGCTAGGTGGCTC